AGGAGAATCAGACAGAAAGATGTGTACAAAGAGAAGACAGGAGTAGAAAGGAAGGGGATATAAAGCTAGAAATAGAGCAGGAGACTGAAAGAGTAATATAGAGATAGGAAATGGAAAAAAGAGAGAGGTTATAGAAAAAAAAAAAAGGAGATAAATATAAATAGAGTTAGAGACTGTAAGAGTTATGAAAAGAAAATTGATGGACAGAGACACAGAAAAAGACAGAGTGGTTTCCTATTGACACTGGCTTCATAGGCCAACTTTAGTTGACCTCAACGTTCAAACAATTGAAAAAAACTGCTGGAAAAATATAACATCACATCAAGATAAACTTTCCCATATTTGTTCTATGTATGTGTTTTGCAGCTGAACCAGTTTGTGGATTTGCCTCAGTTGGAGATGCTGTAGGACATGTAGGATTTAAAGTGTATTTATGATTAGAATTTAAAATCATATATATTCATCCCCACATTGTATTTCAATTACTTCTAGCCTATTATTATTAATCTGAATCATCTTGACATTTGTAAAGTTACTTCGTGAAGATCTCTACACATTTACTTCTCTGAATTCTGTGACACCTATTCACTATGCCCTGAGGGTAGGCACTTCTGTGTCACGCACTTCACTGAGCCTGCCTTCTGAACTACAGAGGTGCTGAGAGAAGGAGTTTCAGTACAGGAATCACTGTTTGCAGGCAGCAAGGTACCATGGGATATATAGTTCTTAGAAACAAAGTAAACAGCAGAGGATAAGCTGCAAAGCATGCAATAAATCTAGGAACACATAGAAAGAGATGGCCAGCAGACAGACAGCAACCACAACATGAAAGGTGACTTTTCAAGTAAGCTTTTACTGGATTTTAGATAATAACTCTCTGTATTGGTATTACAATGTTGATGTTACATGAAAGTGTATGCTGTGAGCATAGAACTCCTTTAACAGGTTAAAACATAAGTAATACAATTACACAAAACAAATTCTAAACTAACACCTGAGAAGCAGAATTTCATCTTTTGTGTGGCATCACCTTCACAGATAACTAAATTGGGGCTAGTCATAGTTTGTGTATTAGTTGTCACATACATAAATGGTCAACCTCTATTTTGTCCTCTTCTGTACTGAAGGAATTATGGGTCTATTCTGATTTCTTCTGTTATATAATAAATTCCCATTGTAATGATTGTAATGACAACATTGCAATGACTGTATTCAAACACACTGTAAAATATGTTCCCATGGCCAATACGTTTAAAAGGCTCAAATAAAAAAAAAACTAATTATGTGTAGGATGTGGGGCAGATGAGTGATGCTTCCTCCATTCTTCCCTTCTTTTTGGGTGCCAAGTCTGGGTGACATGGGAGGTCTACCCCCAGAGTGGGTTCTGGGCTTCTCTAGCCACCTGATCAGGTCACTGCCTTACACATGAGGTGCCTTTACTGGAACGGACAACTGAACTTTAATAAGCGCTCTTGACGTTAATATACACTACTACTTCACTTCTTGCATTTAGGAGGGACATACAAAGCCAATGCCCTCTCCACTCCCAGTGATGGAATAAGGTCCATACACCATGCATGCACTCACTTAACTCTTCTCCTATACCTGTGTACAGGCAGAGGACCTCTGTAGTGCTTATCTGCTCCTGCTATGAGAGATGGACTTGCTCACACAGAGAGTGCCAACAACAACTCCTCCTGCAAGAGGCTATCCCGCCTGCCACATGTACACGCTTAATAAAAAGCTGCTTAGCTGACTGTTGTCTTCTGTTAGCTTTGGTAACCACTTGCTGTACTCTTTGGTGCTGTGCCTAATGACCCACAGCTATAGAATGTGCCAGTTACTTGCATTTCACTTCTTTAGTAACTTCAGATCAGGCAATGGACAAAGTTCCAAAAAGCTTTACTGCAGAACTCAAGCATTGCTAAGTTCAAGATGCAACACAACTCTTCCTTAACATCCCTGATCCCTATCTCAGGTTGGTGAGCTGCCCTGGCATACCTGCACAGGTAGAGTCCATACGAGTTAAAGTCCATGGTTGGCAGACTCCAGGAGCTGGTATCTTCAGGGCGGACTACAGGCTCCAGCAGTCCCCCCTACATGGTAGAAGGTTCCTGTCAGCAGGTGATCCCAGATTTTGGTTGACAGCAGTAAGCCCCAGAGCTGAAGTTAAGCAGATGAGCCCGGGACTCAAACCACTGTCCCTTTTTATAGGCAGAGGACTGTGGGTTGGGCCTAAGAGAGTCCACCAAAAAAAATCCCAGGAACACCAGTAACCTTAACCTTTCCATCGGAGCAGCACCTATCTAGGCCAACATAGGCAACCCGTTTACATTTGTAGCTCATGTCCAAAAAAAAAAAAAAAAAACACAAAGAATAAGAAAAGGACATCTAAAAATATATAAATGTAGGAGCACTACAATATAATCATTTGAAAAAGAATTACAAAGAATACTGTATGTAAACAGGAAAAAATTTGAACAACAATTAGCATATTTACATGTTTTCAAAGCTAATTACATGTTCTCTAACTAATGTTTACAAACTTTTTAATGATTAGTGTCACACAATTCCTTTCAAATGCATTTTTACCACACAAACAAAATCACACAACGCATTTGTAGAACATCCACAAAAAGCAGGCCACCATTTTTAACATACCCTGAAACAATTGGTCACAGACTTTTGGAACATGAAACCGATATTCAAAATAAAAAGACAAAATTCATATGGGTACTATGAGTAGAGAATAGTTGAAGGGTCTTTAAGGGATATGGTTAAATAAAACCTGAGGCCCTCTGAACAAAGGTCAGGAATACGTAGTGCACAACACACAGGTTAGTAGTGCATTACACAGAGTGTGAGGATCAGAAATGTGTAATGCATGGAGTGCAGGTGTCAGGACTGTTAAATGCATGGGGTGCAGGGGTCAGGAGTGTGTAATGTACAGAGTGCAGGGGTCAGGAGTATGTAAAGCAGACAGTGAAGGGGCCAGAATTTTGTAACTCACAGAGTGCAGGGGTTGGGACTGTGTAATGTACAGAGTGCTGGGGTCAGGAGAGTGTAATGTGCAGAGTTCAAGAGTGCGCATCAGTAAAAATGAAAAGTAAATTAGACAATATATGATTATAAGTAGTTCATGATAGAACACCTTGAAATGTAATACATTCAAAAAGTATACAGCACCCTTGTAAAGAGAAGGAGCACTGGAAGGCACTAGTTAACAACTGTTGTTTCAACACAGGAACTCTTTGCCACATGAGATGAGTTTCTTGGATACAAGCTATGTTTGGTGAGTGTAACAAAATAAAATAATACATATTATTGCAATATACTGATATTAGAAAGAAAGAAAAGAATACTAATGTCAATAGCAACTGGCACCTTGTGTTGCTATGGCTATGCTGGTGATTTTTTATAGCTTAGATATGTGAATTGTTATGTGTGAGGATCAGAAATGTGTAATGCATGAAGTGCAGGTGTCAGGTCTGTTAAATGCATGGGGTGCAGGGGTCAGGAGTGTGTAATGCAAAGAGTGCAGGGGTCAGGAGTATGTAAAGCAGGCAGTGAAGGGGCCAGAATTTTGTAACTCACAGAGTGCAGGGGTTAGGACTGTGTAATGTACAGAGTGCAGGGGTCAGGAGTGTGTAATGTGCAGAGTTCAAGAGTGCACAATGCACAGAGAGCAGAGGTCAGGACTGTGTTATGCACAAAGTGCATGAGTGAGAAGTATGTAATACATGGAGTGCAGAGGTCAGAAGTGTGTAGCGCAGCATGTAGTGGTATATGTAATGAATAGATCAGTGTACGCAGCAAAACCAAAAATTACACCCTCCTGCTATTAAAAATTTCCCCAGTTCAGATCCGCTCCCCAAAACCCCCCAACTTTGGGGATGCCTTTTTCCCAGGAATAGACCAAAGAGGGGACTGTCCTCAGAATATGGGGACTAATGATAACCAAAACAAATGTTGCAAGTTTTCTAAGACTTCTTTAACATGGGTGTACCGCTCTCTACATCTGTGCAATGCACTGTCTTCATCAGGTTGCACAGGTTGTTCTTATGCAGTCCCATGCATCCATGGGCAGGCTATCTCTTGAAATCAATGACAGGCAGCCGGCTGCAGGAACCTGCACGGATCTCCAATCACATACTAGAGAGCACATCTGTGTGGGTCAAATGCAAAAATCAGAACAGCAATCTGTCTGTCTAAGTCTTGAAATGAGAACTTGCCAGCTCTGCTCCTACCTACTATGGAGTTAATGGTATATTTTTCAATTTCCATATTGTGAAAAAAAATGTAAAGAATAGGAAGACTGAGACCTTTTCACAATGGAAGAGGTATGTTTAGGGCCTTGTCCATCTTGTGCAAATGACGGAGGTTATGGCAGAAACATACAGTGCAATCAGGTTTCCTGCTGATAGCACTGTGGTCATGGACAGCAGATGGGCAACTTTATTGAACCACTTTATTGAACCATTTAGTGAACCATTGAACCATCATTTTGCTCTCTTGAACCTCTGTAACTTTGCTCCTGACCTGTCCTGCTATTTGTTATCTATTTCCCTGCATATCCATTTTACCTTGCTTCACCCACTTCTTCCATATACTGTTCTCTCCTCCTTTTCAAATATTTGTACACAGTTACCTCAGTGCTACCGTTTAGAATTACTAGGCTATATAGAGTTGGTTTTTGTTCATGTTCTTTGTCACATGTGTCTACATCTTATTTAAACGCGCTATATTTAGCTGTATCTGTCAAGATGCTCAGTTGCTAGTATTGTACAAAGAAAAGTAGGACAGTGTATGTTTACGACCTTGATTAAGTGTGCCTGACATGAGTCATTGGCTTTTTTTGTTTGTTAGTTTTATATGTTTTTAAAGTGAAGGTTAATTTGAAAATTACCGTATTTTTTCGCTCCATAAGACGTACCTGACCATAAGACACACCTAGATTTTAGAGGAGGAAAACAAGAAAAAAAAAATATTCTGAACCAATGGACTGCAGACATAGTACAGGAAATGACCAGAGACTGCGGACATAGTACAGGAGATGACCAGAGACTGCGGACATAGTACAGGAGATGACCAGAGACTGCGGACACAGTACAAGAGATGACCAGAGACTGCGGACACAGTACAGGAGAAGACCAGAGACTGCGGACACAGTACAGGAGATGACCAGAGACTGTGGACACAGTACAGGAGATGACCAGAGACTGCGGAGATAGTACAGGAGATGACCAGAGACTGCGGAGATAGTACAAGAGATGACCAGAGACTGCGAAGATAGTACAGGAGTTGACCAGAGACTGCGGGGATAGTACAGGAGTTGACCAGAGACTGCGGACATAGTACAGGAGATGACAAGAGACTGCAGACACAGTACAGGAGATGACAAGAGACTGCGGGCATAGTACAGTAGATGACAAGAGACTGCGGGCATAGTACAGGAGATAACCAGAGACTGCGGAGATAGTACAGGAGATGACAGAGAGACTGCGGAGATAGTACAGGAGATGACCAGAGACTGCGGAGATAGTACAGGAGATGACCAGAGACTGCGGACATAGTACAGGAGATGACAAGAGACTGCAGACACAGTACAGGAGATGACAAGAGACTGCGGGCATAGTACAGTAGATGACAAGAGACTGCGGGCATAGTACAGGAGATAACCAGAGACTGCGGAGATAGTACAGGAGATGACCAGAGACTGCGGAGATAGTACAGGAGATGACCAGAGACTGCGGACATAGTACAGGAGATGACCAGAGACTGCGGACATAGTACAGGAGATGACCAGAGACTGCGGACATAGTACAGGAGATGACCAGAGACTGCGGACATAGTACAGAAGATGACCAGAGACTGCAGACATAGTACAGAAGAAGATGACCAGAGACTGCAGACATAGTACAGGAGATGACCAGAGTGTCAGGGCTCCGGGAATGACCAGAGGTGTGTGGACCGACACAGGGAGACACAGACTTCAGGTATAGCGTGTAAACAAGATAATTTATTAAGGACAACACAAACAAAACGCAGTGCAAGAAACCAAACCCAAAGCTAACACAAATACATACGACAAGGTCAAACAAACCCAAACCTAAACTGATATATATATATATATATATATATATATGTATATATATATGGAGCACAACATAGTCAGGCAGGCCGGGTCTGTAGCTAACGGGCAAACAGGGTACCAGGAGCGAGCGGAAGAGTGGTCAGGAATAGCCGAGGTCAGGACAGGCGGAGTTCGTTCAGAGTCAGGATCAGAGCAGGATCAGGTAGGAAGCAGACAGGATGCAGGTACAGGGGCTCATCGGAAACATACACCAAGGCACTGATCACAGGCCTGGTCCTGCTTAAATACACCTCCTGCAATCAGCCTCAGGTGATGGCCTGATTGCAGGAGTGAGATTCTGGCTGCTGAGAGCACCCGCTGGCCATCCTTGGTACAGCAGCCCACAAGGCAGGGGAGTCCCACCACCATTGGAGAGTCCATTCCTGACAGTACCCCCCCTCAAGGAGCAGCCTCAGGACGCTCCAAACAGTCCTTAGTGAGCAAAATGTTCCACCGTCCGGGTCAGGTAACTGGCTGGATATCAGGGGCTGGCACATCAGGCTGGACAGTGGGCGGAGGCACATCAGGCTGGGCAGCGGACAGAGGCACATCAGGCTGGGCAGCGGACAGAGGCACATCAGGCTGGGCAGCGGACAGAGGCACATCAGGCTGGGCAGCAGGCAGAGGCACATCAGGCGGAGCAGCGGGCACCAGCCATCGGGCGGAGCAGCGGGCACCGGGCCATTGGGCGGAGCACAGGGCCATCGGGTGGAGCAGCGGGCACCGAGTCATCTGGCAGAACAGCGGGCACTGGGCCATTGGGCGGAGCAGCGGGCACCGAGTCATCTGGCAGAACAGCGGGCACTGGGTCACCAAGCTTGACAGCGGGCACTGAGTCACCTGGCACGACAGCGGGCACCGAGTCATCTGGCATGACAGCGAGCACCGAGTCATCTGGCACGACAGCGGGCACCGAGTCATCTGGCACGACAGCGGGCACCGAGTCATCTGGCACAACAGCGGGCACCGAGTCAACTAGCACAACAGCGGGCACCGAGTCAACTAGCACAACAGCGGGCACCGAGTCACCAAACTCGACAGCGGGCAACGAGTCATCTGGCACGACAGCGGGCACCGAGTCATCTGGCACGACAGCGGGCACCGAGTCATCTGGCACGACAGCGGGCACCGAGTCACCTGGCACGACAGCGGGCACCGAGTAATCTGGCACGACAGCGGGCACCGAGTCACCAAGCTCGACAGTGGGCATCGAGTCGTCTGGCACAACAGCGGGCACCGAGTCATCTGGCACAACAGCGGGCACCGAGTCAACTAGCACAACAGCGGGCACCGAGTCAACTAGCACAACAGCGGGGCACCGAGTCACCAAACTCGACAGCGGGCACCGAGTCATCTGGCACGACAGCGGGCACCGAGTCATCTGGCACAACAGCGGGCACCGGATCATCAAGCTGGATAGGATCATCAGGCTGGGTAGGATCATCAGGCTGGATTGGGTCATCAGGCTGGAAATATTTTATTGAAATAAAATCTTGCAACCAGCTTTCATTTTATACAAAAATACAAAAAATAAATAAATACATACAGTATTCAATAAACTGGAAACATAAACAAAAACAAGAACAGGATACATCTCCCTAAATCAGATATATACTTTCCACTGAAATAATAACAGCCTTTATGGCTTTACTAACTGGGCAGGTAAGAAGCAGAAAAAAAGTAAAAAAAAAAAAACATCACCAAGACCCTTATGGCCCACTTATCAAGTATAAAATGTATCCTCCCCTTGTAGGGGAAGCAACTTCCACTAAACAACAAAAGCCTTTATGGCTTTAAAAAAACACTACTTGTCTACTCAACCAAAGTTAAGAAACCCAGACCTTCAGGTGCACATAGCCTTTCTTCAAAAAGACTTCTTACCAAAATCTAGGGGAGTGAATGAAGAGGAAAAACAGGAAAGCAACCTCACCAAGAGATCAACAGATTGCAGCTACAGGCCTGATGTTCCTCCACTGGGTCATCAGGCTGGATCGGGTCATCAGGCTGGATCGGGCCATCAGGCTGGGTAACGGGCACCAGATCATCAAGCTGGATCAGATCATCAGGCTGGGTAGGATCATCAGGCTGGGTAGGATCATCAGGCTGGGTAGGATCATCAGCCCAGATTGGGTCATCAGGCTGGATCGGGTTATCATGCATAAAAGTGGCCACCCGCCCAAGTCTATAACTGGCTTATGAAGCAAGGACACATAAACAGGCATCACATAGTGAATAAAGGGGAGAGAACAATGTTCTTGGACAACTTGCCAGCCAGCTTGCTAACAACCGAATTAACCTGTCTAACAGTATGCGTTTATAACAGGGGTTTAGTTAGCACACATTTGCAAATACATACGTAAGCCACAGAGCCACGACACGGCACCCTGGTAATCTGTGGTCCTAACTCTAAAATTTGTGAGTCCCCATAGTAGAGGCACATGCATTTAATGGATAGATCATGGGCAGGTGGACCTGAGGGAGCCACCCCTCTTAAAGGCAAAGGAGTGCACTGGACCCCAGCATGTAGCACAATGGCAACCAGGGCCCTAGTGCACCCACGTATCAAAAACTCAAACATGCATAAAAGTGGCCACCCGCCCAAGTCTATAACTGGCTTATGAAGCAAGGACACATAAACAGGCATCACATAGTGAATAAAGGGGAGAGAACAATGTTCTTGGACAACTTGCCAGCCAGCTTGCTAAACAACCGAATTAACCTGTCTAACAGTATGCGTTAATAACAGGGGTTTAGTTAGCACACATTTGCAAAATACATACGTAAGCCACAGAGCCACGACCGGGTTCGGGTTATCAGGCTGGGTAGCCTACACTGGGGTCATCAGGCATCAGGGCATCAGCTGAACAACGGAAGGCGGGTTCACAGACGGGCAGGCGGACTGGTTTGGATACTGGCGTAGGATTGTACTGGTTTTGGAAAGAACTTTTCGCTTCTTTTCTTGGGTTAGTTACTGAGTCAACTGCCGAGTAAATGGCAGGTGTTTTAGGAAATGGACTGGCCAGCCAATGGAGTGGGACTCACCTGCCTTTTGATCTGCAGTACCAGGGCTGGCCAGCGGGTGCTCCCAGCAAATCAGGAGACTCAACCTTTCAGCCAAGCTAACACCGCTACCCTTGGTTCCTGATTCCCTGGGTTGTGGACCCATGACCATCTCGCCTGCTTGGACCCCGCTATACTACGGCTGCTGTGCCCTATCTGCTGAAACCTGGGCCTGTGGACCCCGACCATTCACTCTGCTTGACTTCCCCCCTGTACCTACCTGCCCCACCCCCAATTGATAGTGGACGCGGCCCTGCCCTGACGACCCGCTTGCTTGTATATACTGTGTGAATCCGGGGTGGGTTGGTTTGGTTTTGTTTTGCACTGTGTTATTGTTTTAGGGGGCACGGTTTATGTTT